AATAATTGAAGCACATAAACCAACAAATCCATGCAAAGCTTTCTGAAAGACGCATAAACCCAGTACTCAAAGAAGCAAAACAGGAATAGTATATAAAATAGAATACAAAAACTGTGAACCCATTACACAGAGCAAGCAGGCTGAAGATTAGCAGAGAACCTAGAAATACTAATGGGCAGCCCAAAGTCACAGCTTGTATAAAATTCTAATACCTTTGCACACCTTCATGCTATGTGCCATTGCTCCCCTACATTGAGAAGTTCTTATAGTGGTATGCAGAAAAGACTTTGGGAGATAGGGTGAAGAGATGCTACCTAGGGAATGGTCAGCTAAGAAATAACACAGTTTGCAGCTGGATAGTGGACAGGACAAGAGGCTCAGCAGTGACCCTAATTTCTTCGGCTGTAAAGGAGATGACAGAATTGTACTTTAGACCGGGGTCTCCAAACTTGGCAACTTTAGGACTTGTGGACTTCAACTTCCAGAATTCATCAGGCAGTCATGCTGTCTGGGGAATTCTGGGAGTTAAAAGTCCACAAGTCTTAAAGTTGCCAAGTTTGGAGACCCCTGCTTTAGACTTTCAAAATTCTGTTAATGTAGCTTTACAGCAGAGTAAAATTAGCTTATATGCTAATATAATATATTTCTGGTCTATCTGGTAAGGCTGATAGTCTATCTGCTCTGGTCTATCTGGTAAGGCTCTCTGGTCTATCTGCTCTGCTCATGATCACTCATGCAAGAGTCACTTCCTGGATCAACTGCTGTAATGTGCTCTGCATGGGGCTGTCCTTGAAGAGCATCTAGAAACTTCAGTTGGTACAAAATGTGGCAGTGAGGATAATTACGTGCGCTCCTAGATTGACACATATTGTGACTCTGCTCTGTAAGTTCCATTGGTTGCTAGTTTGATTACACATATAATTCAAGGTGCTGATTTTGACTTTTAAAGCCCTTTGTGGCATGGGATCAGGTTTTGACAGACCATCTCTTTCTGATCATGTCTACTCATCCCATCAGTTCTGACAGGAGGGATATGCTGTGAGTCCTGTCTATTAAGGAGTTACATCTAGCAGGAACCAGGAGACAGGTCTTTTCTGCTGTGGAGTCCTCCCTGTGGAGCATCATTCCTCAAGAGGTGAGATGGTTGCATCCTTGGTAACATGGCTGTGTCAAACAGCTTGGTGATCTCAGAAAAATGGAGAATTGGTGAGATGCCACAGCGTAACACCAAAGATGCCTTTGAGAGTCACATTTGTAAGCTAGGCAGTTATATCCTAGGGCTGAGAGAGAGAGAGTAACTTGCCCAAATCTCTAACTGGGCTTGTGGCTCAAGGCAGAACTAGAACTCATGGTCTCCCAGTTTCTATTCTGGTATATTATCCACTACTCCAAACTGACTCCCCTTATAATCTACTGTATATCATCAAACTATAGCAACAAGATGAAACTATTGAGACAACCTGCTGTTGGTATATTTTATTTTATGATATTTTTTTAAAAAATCCACCATTTAATTGTATCCAATTCTCTGAAGGTGCCTGGACGAGTCTATGTAGTTTTCTTGACAAGATTTTTCAAAAGTTGTTTGTCATTGCCTCCTTCCTTGGGCTAAGAGAAAGTGACTAGTCCAAGGCAGAACTAGAATTCACAGTTTCCCAGTTTCTAGACTAATGCTTTGACCATTGCACCAAAATGGCTCTCAATAAAAATATTTATTTTAAATCTGCTGTATAAGCATAATTTCAAAAATGAACAGAATACAGAAAGATATCAGAAAATATCTTGTGAATCAGTGATGGATACGCTACTTAGTGAATTACAGTACTTTGCTGTAAGCAATCCAATTCAAACAATCACAATTGCTTTAAAATTTCACTAGAGGGCATTACCATTCCAATCAGCTTCTCAGTGAACGTATGTGTAAAAAACATAGAGAAAGAGGCTGGTAAAATGGGCATATTGATCACAATGTCTTTATTTGCTCATAACACAACCTTCTGGAGTAGGACAAAACCAAGCAACCTTGAATCTTGGAATCTTTGCCCTTCTATATAAGCAAAGCCATGGGGAAAAATCTGAGGCAGTAGAAAGGACAAAATCCTTTTATCTTTATATATAATATCAAGATATATATTTATCTCTCTATATAAATGACCTTTGCAATCACCTTATAAGCAACTGTGTCCTCTTCGCGAATGACGTAAAACTATTCAACACCACTGACGCTACTGTCCTTCAAAGTGACCTTGATTATGTGTCTGAATGGTCAAACAATTGGCAACTCCAAATCTCAACCAACAAATGCTCTGTCCTACACATTGGTAAAAAAAATAAGCTGGGCGGATATGATCTTGTTGACGACCCTCACTCTGTCAAGGACCTTGGAGTACTCATATCAAATGACCTAAATCAGTGGCCCCCAACCTTTTTTGTGCCATGGCCCGGTACCGGCATCACAAAATGATCCGCGGCCCGGTACCAGCATCAGCACGCATGACAAGGCAAGGCGAGCCGAGCGACTGGCCAGCCAGCCGTCCCCCGCTTCTCCCCGCCACCTTCAACTCCTCCTTTGTACCTTTGTCGATGGGCTTCGCTTCGGGACGGCTTTGGGACGGCTTTGGGACGGTCGCTTGGCTCGCCTTGCCTTGGGTGCTGAAAGAATCCTCGCGCCTTAGTTTCTTTCGAAGCCCCCCCCCTTCGATGAAACTAAGGCGCGAGGATTCCTTCAGGACCCAAACGCCGCTTTCCAACCGGAAAAGCTCACCCGGAAGCACTTTCTCATCAAACAAGATGGCGGCACCCAGCAAACCAGCGGCCCGGTAGGAAATGTTCCACGGACCGGTACCGGTCTGCGGCCCAGTGGCTGGGGACCCCTGACCTAAATGACCTCACTGTAACAGCATTGCCAAAAAGGCATTAAGAGTTGTAAATCTAATCTTACGAAGCTTCTCCTGTGGAAATATTGAATTGCTAACTAGGGCATACAAAACCTTTGCTAGACCAATACTCAAATACAGCTCATCTGTCTGGAATCCTCACTGTATATCAGACATTAATACAATTGAGCGAGTCCAGAAGTATTTCATGAGAAGAGTACTACACTCCTCTCCTCGCAACAGAATACCCTATATCACCAGGCTTGAAATTTTGGGCTTGGACAATCTTGAACTATGCCGCCTATGGTTGGACTTAAGTGTAGTACACAAAATTATCTCCTACAATGTCCTACCAGTCAATGAGTACTTCAGCTTCAACTGCAACAATACAAGAGCACACAACAGATACAAACTCAATGTAAACTGCTCTAAACTTGATTGCAGAAAATACGACTTCAGCAACAGAGTGGTCAATGCCTGGAATGCACTACCTGACTCTGTTGTTACATCCTCTAACCCCCCAGTCCTTTAACCTTAAACTATCCACTACTGACCTCACCCCATTCCTTAGAGGTCTGTAAGAGGTGTGCATAAGTACACAATTTTGCCTACCATCCCTGTCCTATTGTTCCCATTTATTTGTACCTATTTCCTGTATTGTTACTCATGTTTATACTTATACCTATTGTCTTGTAAGTGATTGACAAATCAAATAAATAAATAAAGTAACAATATCCTAGCCCAGTTCAATGTAAATTGGAAGGCAGTGCAAAAAAAAAAAAAAAGCCACATAACCCAAAATATACCAGGGGGGCGGATTGGTTCATATTGTAAAGCAAGCATAATACATTTGATTCAGCTAGTCTAGAAGCATTGCGTAATTCAACCAAGTTGCACAAAAGATAATTGGTACAAATGTCATTATGTTTTGTGTGTATACTCACCCTTACATCACAACTAAATTAAAAACATTGTGGATTAAATTTTCAGTGGGTCAAAGGACAAAATGCAGATCACACATGCTCATATTATCAGAGCTAATGTAAATAATTCAATGTGACCACAGCACTTCCAGTCTTTGGACTAATAATTTTTCTTATATATATCCATTTCATGTATTCATAATTATGTTTATACTTATACCTATTATCTTGTAAGCGATTGACAAATCAAATAAATAAAAAATATATAAATTTCAGTGGTGGAACTCAAAGTTTTTTACTACTGGTTCTGTGGGCATAGCTTGGTGGGCGTGGCAGGGGAAGGATACTATAAAATCTCCATACCTACCCAACTCCAGGGGAAGGATACTGTAAAATCCCCATTCCCTCCCCACTCCACTAACCTGCTTTCCAGCTCCATTCTCCTGTACAGGGCAACAAAACAAGACCCAGCTGATTAGCTGGGATTCGGGAGGCAGAGAATAGACTGGCAGGGCCAGTCAGAGGTGGTATTTGCTGGTTCTCCGAACTACACAAAATTTCCGCTAGTTCTAGTTTCTCCAGAACTAGTCAGAACCTACTGAATACCACCTCTGATAAATTTACATTATTTGTGGTATCTTCAACAGGACTAGTAAATAATTCCAGAATATTTGGCGATATCAAGAAAATGTAACAATTTTTTTCATATTTTTCATAAAACACATTCACAAGAGCAAAAACTAGTCCAACAAGGCTGAAGTATTCCAGCAGTTTATATTTTATGCTGACCAGATTTTATTGTTCCTCAAACCAGCATGACATTCTCGAATTCATCCTAATTTTAAAAGTTAAATTGCCATAGCTGCAACACTACTAGTCAAGTCAATATAAAGTGAATGAGAAATAAAACCGTAGTTTATTTCAGCTAGTGGCAATTGAATGGGTCTTAAAACTTGAACCTCTTGAATGGGTCTTAAAACTTATTTGCAATCGCAGTCTTATCAAATCGCAGCCCAACGCCACCTAAATCCAACTTTCGACGAGCGTGAGTTGAACGCATTGGGCGAAAAGAGGAACAAGGACAGCAAAATGCCTTGTTTCGCACGAGACAGTTCTGAACACGTTAGGTAAAACTTCGTTCCGCACACTGACTACGAGCTGATTTAAGCGTTTCAATATGCGCTTCCCTTCCGCAACCTTCCTTCTTTCCAACCTTCCGGAGACCAGCCGGAATTGAGGTGGGCGGTTACAAAGGCAGCAGCCGTGAGATTGTATGATCTCAGTCATCCCAGGCAGCTTTCGAAAGCGGGATTAGGGAAAGGAAGATACCTTCGCGGGACAGACGAGCCTTCTAAACTCTGAACATTGAACGCAACAGGTAAGGCCGCGGAAAGTGGGGTTACCCACTCGGAAAGGCCACTCGGGGAAGGGAAGGTGAACAAAAAGAAAATCAATGAGCCTCTCACCCCCTCGTGGGATTTCCTCCAGTGACGAAATGAAGTCTCTCCAGCGAAAGATCTTTCTGGGACTTTTGCTGTGCCCGCCCGATTACTTGCTTTGCTTCTAAATCATGTCGGACAGGGCGGATGGGCAACGTGACTTAAGCCGAAAGATGTTTTCGTTCGCTTACTTTCCTTTGTCCTGCTTGTTCAAGGTATATGCTGCCCGTCCGAATCGGGTTTCTGACGATTAAGAATTACGATTGGGCCGAAAACAAAGTTAGCTTGAGAAAGAGAGCTAAGAAGTTATTAGTGGACGTAGCTAAGTCTTGGTTTTCTTGTCGCAGAGTGGCTCTGACATAGTCGGATCTGTGAATCCACCAGGCAGTCTCGAAAAAGCGTGTTGTGATTGCAGCTTGTCCAAGAGCCCTTGGGAAGCAGTGGTCCCTTCGATTCACAGTCTCTTACGAAAGCGTGTTTCAGCACCTGGGAATGTTGTGACCAAGGTATTATTGAAAGAGGGGAAATAAGTCAATCCACAGACAGGACATGGCTATGTTTAAATTTGTCTCGAGGTTAACAGCATTAAATGCTAATTAACTATTTACATCAAGGCTTTTCAAACTTGGTAAGTTTAAGACTTGTGGACTTCAGCTCCCAGGATTCCTGACCTGGCATGACTGGAGGAGGAATTCTGGGAGTTGAAGTCCATAAATCTTAAAGCTGTCGTGTTTGAAGACCCCTGATTTACATATATGTCCTTTCATCCATGTAGTTCAGGATCTCTTGCTCTGTGAATGGGATTTTGTGAGCCAGGCAACTTTGCCATGCAAAATTCTATGCAAAGGAAATGTGGTAGCTTGGCCTATGTAATCCTGTCTTCAGTGATTACATTCCTCTTTCCTCTGATTCTTGTGTAATTTCTGGGAGAAGTCTAATGCCACTTATATTACGAAACCGCAATCGTTATACAGGTTAGGCTAGTTTGTGAGAGTTCTGTAACCTGTTTCTATTGCAGCGTTCATTGTACTTGACTTGTGCTAACTTGTGTCTGATATTCTTAGAGCGAGATTAATCCTTTCTAAAGTCTATAGTGACTAATTTATTAATCTTTTCTTGACAGGCACCAGGCTATGTTATTTTTTTACATTTTGCTATTTCAACTGCTTATAATTTTACCTGCATTTCCTCACTGCTCAATACAAATCAAGGAATCAAAGGGTGCAATAGAAGAAGGTAACTTGTTTACATCAACCGTTGTAAACTTTTGTATTAAAATTGTTCCTAATATGAAGGACAAAATCAAAAAGGTATAATTATAATTGTATTACTGTAGCCTAATTTAAATGCTGTGGCTCAAAATGGTTCAGTCAGAGTGCAAGTGTCGTGTGTGTGTGTAATATACATATACATACATAGAATTGAATTGAATTGAATTGAATTCTTTATTGGCCAAGTGTGATTGTACACACAAGAAATTTGTCTTGGTGCAAATGCTATCAGTGACCTAAAAGAAAAGATATATACATTAAGAGTCAAGAATCATAAAGTACAACACTTAATAATGGTCATATAAGCAATCAAATACTAGGAAAGTCAATATAAATCATAAGGATACAAGCGACAAAGTTACAGTCATACAGTCACAAGTGGGAGGGGATGGGTGATAAGGAATGATGAAAAGATTAATAGTAATAGTAGTGCAGACTTTGTAAATAGTTGGACAGTGTTGACGGAATTTGTTTAGCACAGTGATGGCGTTCAGGAAAAAACTGTCCTTGTGTCTAGTTGTTCTGGTGTGCAGTGCTCTATAGCGTTGTTTTGAGGGTAGCAATTGAAACAGTTTATGTCCAGGATGTGAAGGGTCTGTAATATATATATGTATATGTGTGTGTGTGTGTGTGTATGTGTAATATATATATGTATATGTGTGTGTGTGTGTGTGTGTATGTGTATATATA